TACTTTCTCCACAAGGCATGTCCCAGCCTTCTTGTGCGTGGGAACCTTAGCACTTCAGCGCTGTGCTTGGGGGGCATTTTAAACAGCGAAATCACCAACAGAAAGCACAAACGTGAGAAAAACGTGGCACCAAATAGACTGTGAACAGGAGAGACTGAGCTGAAGCAAGATGGCTGAGCTACTCCCTGTTCAGCTGGGAACATGAGTGTCCAGCAACCGACAGTTGTCACTGCTCTGCACACACCCTCGAAAGACTGCAAAGTACTCTGAGTAATGATTCGGGGGATTGCAAATAAATTTTAGCAAGTAGGCGAGTTCGCAAATACAGAATCCACAAATAGTGAAGATCAACTGTGTAGACGAAGTCCGTGGAACAGGGCCTGGCATGTAGGAAGCACTGGATGGATACTGGTGTTAATACTTTGTAAGCTTTAGGATACCTACTGAGCTGGGTATTGCTATTCCCACTTAATAGACGAGGAGAGGCTGAGGATCTGGACCGGGTCACAAAGTGGGTCAATGGTGGTGTCAGGACTTGAGCCCACACGTGGGCCTGGCTTAACCCTTTTCTACGCTGCCCAGAACAGGGACCCCAGCGCTTCCCAAGCTGCCTCTGCACAGGCTCACACAGGCTGGTGCCCTGCCCTGCACACAAACATCATCGCCTGTGTTTACACCAGAGCTTCCTTTCCCAAACCTCCTCGACTCTGAGATGCCTTAGGAACAAAGAGGTTTCCCAGTTTCCTGCCCGGGCTGGGGCATTCCTCCCTCTGGCTGCAGCACCCCACCCCCAGGCCTTCTCTCCCCGCTCTGCCTCAGCACCTCTCACTCCACACCAGCCACCAAGGCAGTCTGGCAAAAAGGCTTGGGGACAAGTAGCTGTGGATCTGTGGATCTGTGGATCCTCTCAGCTGGCCTTACCCAACCGACAGCAGAAGTCCCAGGAGAAAAGAAAGCGAGATGGGTGCCGAGGAGGAAGAAGGGCCCAGCCCCAGTGAGCAGGGAGCAGAGGGGAGGCTGGGCAGATGGAGGGACAGGTGTGAGGGGCAGAGAGACCCTGGTGCCCACATCCCACTAGATCTTCAGAGAAGCCGGCATCCACCTGGACCAGACAGGTAACCCTGCCACCCTCTCAGGCCCGGAGTCTCTGAGTGGATTTGACATCCCCTCTGAAAGCCGGAAAGAGGTGCCATTCTGCGGCAACTTGCGTCTCTGTTTACCTGTTAACAGGGGTCAGTAAACTATGGCCTGAAGGCCAAATCCAGCCAGCGGCCTGTCTGTGTACAGCTCACTAGCTGAAAATGGTTTGTATGTTTTGTTTTGTTTTTTGCGGTACGCGGGCCTCTCACTGTTGTGGCCTCTCCCGTTGCAGAGCACAGGCTCCGGACGCGCAGGCTCAGCGGCCACGGCTCACGGGCCCAGCCGCTCCGCGGCATGTGGGATCTTCCCAGACCGGGGCATGAACCCGTGTCCCCCACATCGGCAGGCGGACTCTCAACCACTGCGCCACCAGGGAAGCCCTGGTTTGTATGTTTTTAAACGGATGAAGAAAGAGAGACAGGAAGGAGGAGGACAGAAGACTCTATGTCACCCACAAAGCCTAAAATAGTTACTTTTTGTAGAAAAAGTGTGCGCACCCCTGACCAGGATTGACCCAGCTGTGGCGGCCCTTCACCCACGCATCCCTGGCGCGTGACATTGGGTGTGATATTCAATTTCTGGAAGGCTCAGTTTCCCCATCTGTAAAGCCAAGGCGGGAACAGCACCCGTGTCCCAGGGTTGTGAGAGTGAAGTCAGGTGTAATGGATGCCAAGCCCTCAGCCCAGAGCCCCCTGCGCTCCTGCACGTGGCGCATTCTGCTAGCCGATGGCGGCCGCGGTGGTGGCACCAAGTGTGTGATGGGAAGATGAGGAAAAGAGTCCCCTCCTGACCAGCTGACCTTCCCCACGTCACAGAGAAGTGGGGAAACTGAATCACGGGGGTGACTCATCTGAGGTCACTCGGCTATAAACAGGATGTCACCAGGGCCGCTTCCCACAGACCTGTGAAGGCGCTTGGCGCCTTCCTTCCACCACCACCCCCCGCCGTGCCTCCCCTACCCCTGCTCTCGAACCCCTGCCCTCCGCACTTCTCCACACTTCTGTCCTGGGTCCCACTCTCACAGGACCTTGCTCTTCTCAAGAAGCTGATTGCCCTCCGCTGCTGTGTTAGTTGCCAACAACTAAAGTCATTTCCTATCCTAGGGGTATTTGCATTTAACACGCACCTCCTAGACCCCCAGACATCCACAGGTATTCCTCTCTGTGTGACGCCAGGCACAGTGACAGATGCTAGGAGCTGCACTGAAAATCACAGATGCCACTTCAAACCAAAGCATCTCGGGAATTCCCTGGCGGCCCAATTGTTAGGGCTCCGCGCTGTCGCTACCGTGGCGCAGGTTCAATCCCTGGTCACGGAACTAAGATCCTACAAGCCACATGGCGCAGCCAAAAAAAAAAAAAAATTGTGACCAGAGCCTCTCAGATCCACTATCCAAATTCTGTGTCACCCGTTTAGCTCACACTCTGAGCAGACAGACAAACGTAAACACAGGACTTGACCACTGAGTCCAGCTCTGCCGTGGTCCAGCTGGCCCCCCAGTCCCCTTCCCTCACCAGTCTCCTGAAGTTGAAGGATGCAGGGTCTCTCTGAGGTCACATAAGAAGGCCCAGGCCACTTCCATCTTTTGAGATTACCAGTACATATATTTTATAAAATGAAGAAATGCCCCAAGCAGGGTTATGGAACTTGTGGTCTATTTTAAACATTTACTTGCAAAGTTTACACTTTCGACCCCAAAGGATAATGCAATCTAACGGTGCTGATCCGCAGAATAATTTCAGGATTTATAACAAACATTCACGTATCCTGAACTCTCAGGCAAAGCGGTCTAGTGGGGAGATAGGGGGCAGTTTACAGACGAACAGCAGCGACTTCTTTCAGTTCCGTGGGCGTGTCTCTGTGATGATTGCAGCTCACTTTGTTGGGAGATGAAGTCCACGAAAATGAGACAGGAGTCCAGGGCTGAAGCTCCTCTCGCCCAGCTCTCCAGGGAATTCCTAGACGCCCTCCTACAGCTGAGCCTGGCTGAGTGGCTGCTCTCGCCCGCATCCTGGACCTAGTCTCTCTTCTCTTGCATCAAGCCTGCCTGGAAGGCCATCCGCTTCTCCTCCTGGCTAGGTGCAAATTCCCTTTCTGTTCCACGAGACCTGCCATCACCCTGCTCTGCCCTCTCTCCCTCTCCCTAGTCCCAGGAGAGTCACCAGCTGCTTCTCCTCCTAGTGCCCAAAGCATAACTCAAGTACTGTAAGTACTGGAAAGGAAGAGGAACTTCACAGCTACAAACACCGCCTCGGCCAGGTGATCAAGGTCAACACCAACATCATAGGTCATAGTGATAGAACATACCCTTGACATGTAATGAACATGGGACTTGACCTCTGTGATCTTCCTCCCCAAAACCCATAACCCCAGCCCAATCATGAGAAAAACATCAGACAAATCCCAATTAAGGAACATTCTTCAAAATTCCTCCCAATTGTCAAGGCCATCAAAAACAAGGCAAGTCTGAAACACTGTCACAGCCAAGAGAAGCCCAAGGAGACAGGATGACTAAAGGTAATGTGGGATCCAGGATGGGATCCTGTAATGGAAAAGGAACATTAGGGGAAAAATAAAGAATTCTGAATAAACTGTGGACCTCATTTAATAATAAGGTATTGATATTGGTTCATTAATAGTGACGTGTGTACCACATCAATGTTAGATGTCAATAATAGGGGAAACTGGGCGTTGGGTGTACGGGAATTCTCTGTACTACGTCTGTACAGTAATTCTGTGAATCTAAAATTGTTCTAAAATTAAAAGTTTATTATTTAAAAAAATGAATTATGAATGAGTGGCTCTGTTTCATCCTTACCCACCTCTAAAACACAAAGTACTAGGCTTAACTAGAGGGCAGAATGGCGGGCGGATACGAACACTGCTGCTGTGTCCTGGGGGGGTTACTGGACCCCTCTAAGCCTCAGGTTCCTTCATTTTAACGGGAAGGAGTGGTAACTACAGCGACAATTTCGTGGAACTGTTCACAAGATTAGTGTGTAAAGCCCTTAAGTCAAAAAATTTTCACTGTGCTGTTGATCTGTTGTGTGGCCAGGACCCAAGGACATCTGGGCGCACGGCTGCCCATCATGGGGAGAGCTGAGTGGCGAGAGGCCTCCACCACGAAGAGGGTCATGTCCTCTGGAGGAGGATGGAGTCCAGGGCAAGGGGAGGAAGGCAGGTCTGGGAGGCCTCCCGTAAGTGACCACACTCAAGGGCCTCCTTGCCATGCCGGGAAGTACAGGGTGTTGCGTCCATTACAAAGGCTACAGAGGCATCCTGGTCTCTGTTCATGACCCAGAGCACAATGGCCGGAAGAGCCACTCAGGGCCCAGGCCCAGCAAAACAGACAGCAACTGCACCTCCCCTCGGAGTCCCCACCTCTTGCAGGGCTGCTGGCTGCACCACCACCCCGAGGAAACCGCAGGGAACCTGGGCCTCCAGCGCCCTCACCAGCCAGGCTGCAGCAAGGCCACCTCAGAGTGGCCAGGCCAGCAGGGCCCTGAGCCCACCCCTCGGAACTTATAGAGCACAGCTGTCCGTGGGCAGCCCTGGGGGGCACCTGCTGTCCAGACAGGTGGGCAGAGGCCTGTGCTGGGCCAGCTGAGGCGTGAGTCCTGACGCTGCCGCACGGCCTTGAGCAATCTCTAACCCCTCAGTGTCTCAGCTTCCTGCCCCGTCCTGGGGAGAACAGGCCTGTCTGCAAAACCTCACACCCTGGGACTTCCCTGGCGGTCCAGTGGTTAAGACTTTGCCTTCCAGTGCAGAGGGTGTGGGCTTGATCCCTGGTCGGGGAGCTAATATCCCATGCCTCACGGCCAAAAAAACCAAAACATAAAACAGAAGCAATATTGTAACAAATTCAATAACGACTTTAAAAACGGTCCACATCAAAAAAAAACAAACAAAAACCCTCACACCCCAGGAATCAAAGAACCCAGGTGGATGGAGGGGCAGAGGGCCCTCCAGCCCCCCAGCTTTCTCACTCCCCAGGCCACCCTGTGGCTCCGCGGCTCCACACAGCAAGCAGCAAGGGCGCTGGGGGCGCCACGTGTGCTCTTCAACATAGAACCCGCTGATCCCTGCAGGTGAGGCTCGGCCCCATTTGAATGATGTGGAAACTGAGGCCCGCGGGCTGAAGTGACCTCAAGTCACCCATCAGGTCAGTGACAGAGCTGGTCCTGGGGCCAGAATCCTCCTCTGGTGCCTCTTCCTCACCTCAGAGCAAAGAGGCTTCACTGCTGCCCTCAGCTGAGTCGGCACACAGGTTCCTGAGTCCTCGCCTGCCTGGGCTTGACGCTTCATCTCTGTGATCTCCTGGTCTTCATCTACCGTATGGGGAGTATATGCACGCAGAACATCCAGTTTCTTTGAGGACTGTGGCAGTCTCTGTGGGACGGACAAAACAAACAAAAACACCACCTCAGTTTCTGCCCTCAAGGAACGTAAACTCTAACAACAATAACTAAAGCTTGAAAACCGCCCTAGAGTCTGCCTTTCCTTTTCTCACTTTTCCTTCAGAGCAGGCAGGTGTAGTTAGTGCTGTTTTACAAACGCGGGCTCGAGATGGAAGGGGAAGCCTAAGTGGAGAACTGTGATGTTCTGACTGAATCCCATGGTACTTTCTACCTGAGGCACCATCTCCAAAAGAACAAGAATGTAAGGCAAAATTTGATGACCATTGCTTCATGTAGGACTCTCTCAGCTGCAAGTGACAAAAAAAAAAAGGGGGGGCGACGAAAACAAAATAGGAAATAGGAGCTCACTTAACTGAAAGGTCCAGGGGTCAGGCTGGGCTGCCTTTCAGTGCAGCCTGCCTGGGACCTCAAAGACCTGAATTCTCTCCATTTCTCAGCAGCTGTCTTCCTCAGGCCACATGTGATGACAAATGGAGACCGTGGTTCCAGGGTTTGTACATCCAGGTTCAAGCTCATCAGGGAGGAACCCCTACCTCTCCGGCAGAAACCGCAGCTGAAGTCTCACTGGCCCTGGGTGGAGCCCAAATCCCTCCCCAAACTCATCACTGTGGCTTTGGTGATCCATCGTGGCTTTGGCCAATGAGGCTGAATTACAGAGCTGGATCAACCACACCCAAAGCAAAAGGGCAGAGAGAGGGTGGGGAGGGAGAGAGTCTTAAAGGAAATTTGAGATACCGGACGATAAATACCCCAACTTCGGTCTCCTCCTGCCCTCCAAACAGATGGTCCAGGAGGCCGGGTGAAGCAGTGTACAAGGTCAGAGCAGGTTAGAGAGGGTTGGCAGAGGGAGGCAAACAGAAAATAACCAGCACACCAGGGTGAGGCCTAGATTCACCCCCGCCCGCCACTCTTGGGAGCAAGCCCAAGTTCTCAGCCTGGAGTAGCAGGTGCTCTGGCCAACTTTCTCCCTCCGACCCCGGTCCCCTCTCTCACCACCCTGACGCCCAAGCCCCTTACCCCAGACCGACAGAGCCCGTCCCCAACTCCCCGCCTTGCCAGCTGCTACTCCCTCTGCTTGTAATGTACTCTCTCCCTTCCCCACCCCCTCCCTTTCTTTACATGTCGAACTCCTATTCATCCTTCAAGGCCTTTTTCTGATGGCACCTCCTCCATGCAGACTGCACCAAGTCCCACACTCAGAGTATCTCCTCTGTCCCCACAGCATCCCTACACAGAGCCCACCAGAGCAACTATGGCCTTGTCCTGGGACCGTTTACCTGTCTGTCTCCCTGTCCAGCTGTGAGCTCCCTGGGGCTGGGGATTGAGTCTACTCAGCTCTCCGTCCTGGGCTCAATTGCACTGTCAGGCACATAGTCGGCCCATAAATATTCACTGAATATGTGAATAAAAGATGAGGAGAAGACTTCTGTGTCCTTCTCATCCCCCCTGCCTTTTTCTGGTCTCACAACAGAGAAGCACACAGGCAGGAGTAAAGAGAAAGAGGGGCATGTACCCCAGTAGCCCCCGCACTTTCCTCTCCCAATCCAGTTTCAGGCTCTGCCTTACATAATACGGGAAGCCTTTCTCCTTGGCCTTTCTATTGCTGGAAAGTGCTATAGGTGTGAGTTGTGTGGACCTGAGGAAAAAGTGTTATCCACCAGGCCCTCTACCCTGTCCCCAGAGCCCCAGGGCTTCCTGGGCTGCCTCAGCAGGACTTTCTCCAGAGCACAGCCCCACACGGGAGAGGTCCAGACCAGCTGGCGTGATCACGAGGGGTACCCTGCTGCCCCTGCTTATTAAGCACCTACATTTGTCAAAGCCTCTCTGACCAGCCCAAGGGGACAAAATTCCTTCCTTCCTCCTTCATTCACATAGTCGTTCATTTACAAACAGGGTGTCACACACTGAGGACACAGCAGCGAATGAACACAAAGGACCTGCGGTCTAGAGGGGGCGACAGATACTGAACCGGAAACAATCTGTGTGATGAGACCCTCAAGAAGGGGAGAAGGGGAGGGGGAAACAAGACAACAACTGAAGAAAGCCAGAAGCAGAAGGGTCCGAACAGGCAGCTCCCCCTCCCCTTCCAGCCTGAACTCCAGAAATCAAGGGACCAGGAGACAAGCCTCAGCGGGCAGGAGAGGCTTTGCATTCGATTCCTCGGGGGCATCACAGAGGACCACAGGCTGGGGGCCGAAACACCGGGGATGCATTCTCTCACTTTCTGGGGGCCAGCAGTCTGCGATGGAGATGCGAGCGGGTTGCTTCCTTCTGATGGGCAGAGTGGGGGGGCAGTTTAGCAGGTTCTTGTTTTGTTGACCCTTAGCCCTGCTGCACTCCTGAGAGGGCCACTTCCCTAGCACATTTCCGGGCCTGGCTGACTCACTGGACAGGAAGGGAAGGGCTGCAAGGGCTGGCTGCCGACCAGGGACCCCTCGTCTCTGGCCACGCCTGACACAGCCTTCTGGGGAGCCCACACACACCAGCCCTCCCCTCTCTGTGTGTCCTGCCTTTGCTAGCAGGTGGCCACTCAGCCCTCTTGGGTAGGGGGATGCCACACGGGCCCAGCTCTCCCTCCCTGGATGGTCCCTTATCCAGGGGCCCAGCTGTCCTGAGAGGCTTCCACTACAAGTCACTCATCCATCCACACATACTGAGCCCTCGCTTCCCTTTCAACAAATAAGTATCAGCACCCACCATGGACACCATCTAGGCCCTGGAGATACAGCGGCAAACGTAAGGACTAGCCACGGCCCCCGTGAAGTTCACATTCAAGTGGATGGAGACAAAGACCTGAAAAATCAACATATACCATGTCAGCTGGTGACAAAGTCAACAGAGGGAGCAAAGCAGGGGAGACGACAGGGATGCATGGAGTGGGCAGGGCTGTGCCATACATCCAGCCAAGGAGCCATCTCTGATAAGGGTCCTTTGGAGCAAGGCCCAAAGAGGGAAGGATCCTGGGGGAGAGGGATCCAGCTGAAGGAACAGCAGGAGGCCAGGTCGGAGGGGCAGTGTGCCCACCAGTTTCAAGCAACACCCTAGGGACTTCCCTGGTGGCACGGTGGTTAAGAATCCACCTGTCACTCTTTTAAAGTGTGCATGGATATGTATTACAGGGGGGAAAGGTGGGGAAATGTACAGTCATACACAGGGGGAAGAAGAAGGGAACATGCATGTCCCCTTGCTGGCTATATACTGCAGGAATACGTGCCTCTCAGTCTTTGTTGGTTCTGAAGCTTCCTGAAGTGTGCTGACATTTGGGCTGCACAGAGACCCTCACCTTCACTTTCACCTCCTCTTCTAGAATTGCTTTGCTCTATTTTTGTGTATATAAATATGTCATGATGATTATTAATAATATTGCTGCAAATGGTGCCATAGACAAGGTTTGGCTTCTTGGAACATTTATAAACCCAGACCAGTGCCTGTCCCCTCTTATGTTGCTTTCAAGTCCTTCCATTTTAAGTAACTTCTTTTTATCTTACAAGTCTGCCTGATTGACCTTTGAACTTATCCACCCCTAAAAGCTGTGCCCGGTTCTCTGGGTCAAGCTGGATGGTGACGAGTGGCAGCAACACACACTTCTCTTCGCTTCTGCCTGAAATTTGCTTAAAGCTGAGATCAGTAAGGATTCTGACACTAGTGCATTGTTCCTGGAGCTAAAGTCATTCTACAGATGTTTGCTTATTAGTTTCAGGACCCAAAACAACACAAGTCCCTCCTCCCTGATAGCTCCTTCACATCTCAATCCTGCAGTCCTTACTCAGGCAAACTGTGCACTGCCAGAGGGGCCCTGGGCTCTGCCACACACCCAAAGGAGGTCTTATCAGTGTATTTCTAAATGGCCTTACACTTGGTAGAAGAAACTGAACGGTTACTCCAATGCAGTTGCAGTCTGCAATCTGCTAAGTCAGGGCTCTCATTTGTGTCCGAGTTGGCCTGATATGGACTGCATCTGGTTTACGTATAGATGGGTCCTGTTGGGGTATGTGCACAGACATGTGAGCGTGCATATGTATGCCCTCTGTGAGATATATATATATATATATATATATATTTACATATATATATGTAAATATATATCCACACATCTCTATATATTTTAATGTATTGCACATGTATATTTAAAATATATATGAAAGAACTCTAAAAAAAAAGAACCCATCTGCCAATGCAGGCCACATGGGTTTGAGCCCTGGTCCAGGAAGATCCCACATGCCGCGGAGCAACTGAGCCCGTGGGCCACAACTACTGAGCCTGCGCTCTAGAGCCCGCAAGCCACAATTAATAAAGCCCGCAAGCTGCAACTACTGAAGCCCGCGCGCCTACAGCCAGTGCTCTGCAACAAGTGAAGCCACCGCAATGAGAAGCCCGTGCACTGCAACAAAGAGTAGCCCCCGCTCACCGCAACCAGAGAAAGCCCGCGCACAGCAACGAAGACCCAATGCAGCCAAAAATAAATAAATAAATATATATATTTTAAAAAGAAACATCCTAGTGTCCAGGGTGTGCGTGTTGGGGGAGGGTGAGTGGGGACCAGATGCACCGTTAAGGTGTGGGCATCATATCACAGGCCCTGAGGAATTGGGGTTTAACCCTGAGGAGCTGGAGATTTTAAAAGTTGAGAACAAAATGTCCCATGTCCGCAAGGAGCTTCCCGCCTAGAATCAGAAGTGGAGCAATCCCCAGCAGGGGCTACGCTGACAGTGGGATTCCTGCTAAAGGTTCTTGGAACGTGGGAGTGTTCTCTGTGGGCCCTGGGAGACGCCGCCTGCCTCAGCTTAGAAGCCTGCTGCTCTGCGTCAGGGCCGGCTTTTGACTCCTTGTCCCCAGAGCGGGTGCTTGTTTGTTTGTTCGTCATAAATTTAAATTGAGGGGGAAAGTGTCGTAATACCTCGGTTAACCACTTTGCCTCAGAGAACTGAGCTGATCCAGCCACGGCCAACCCCGTGCCATGGAAAGCAGAACACAGTGTGTGCACGCGTGCATGGGGCGGGGCGTGCATCAACACACTGCTGTCTTCCTTTGTCCCTTCCAGCTCTGGGGTTTTCCTGGGACTGTTCCTCTCTTCTGGAGGGAGGGGCAGGGGGCGGGTACAGGAGATGGGGAAGGAGTTGGGAGGCACACTGGAGAGTGTCTGTGGCAGAAATAGATTGCATACAAGCAACCGGGGCCACTAGAGAGAGAAATATGAGCGGAGCCCATGTAAATGTACTGACCGAGAGCATTCCCGTGGTTCTAAGCAGATCTGGACAAGTTCACGCAGGGAGGGGTACAGTGTGATGGACCAGGGCCAGAACTAAAAATAAGGCGTGTTTCTATGCCCAGCGGGAGCGTTAGCATCTGTGGGATTGTGGCAGAGGAGAGGGGAGTTTCCGTGCCCCCAGGCACAGTGAGGCCAGAGAAGAGGCGAGGGAGGGGTTGGCCGGGCCTCCGTCTCAGCAGTGAGATAGGATGATGCTCCCCCCAAACAGGAGACCTCTCCTCTTCCCAGCTGGGAAGCCGAAGCCCAGAGAAGGCAGAAGTCGGGCAGGGAAGGACTGAGGCAGAGGCTGTCCTGCAGCAGAAGAAAGACTCCAGGCGTTACTGCTGGCCAACCCTGGAGGCTGGCCCATCCCTGCCAGAGTAGCAGAGAGGGGTGGGGCCGCCTCCAAACCTCCTCCCCAGGGAGCAGTTAAGGAGCCCAGGAGTGGCCTGGAGTGGAGGGAAGGGACACAGCACTTACTGGGTGTTCACTAGACGGGGGTGTTTTCCACAGGGTCCCACAATGATCCTGAAAGGTGGGTATTTCGCTCCGTTTTGACAGATTATGAAAACAGGATTCTGGACTTCTCTGGTGGTCCAGGGGTTAAGACTCCGTGCTGCCACTGCAGGGAGGGAGGGAAGGAAGGAAGGGAGGAAGGAAGGAAGGGAGGGAGGGAGGGAGGGAGGGAGAGAGGAAGAAAGGAAGGAAGGAAGGAAGGAAGGCAGGCAGGCAGGAAGGAAGGAAGGAAGGATGGGAGGAAGGAAGGGAGGGAGGGAGGAGGAAGGGAGGGAGAGAGGAAGAAAGGAAGGAAGGAAGGAAGAAAAAAGGAAAGGAAGGAAGGAAGGAAGGATGGGAGGGAGGGAGGGAGGGAGGGAGAGGGAGGAAGAAAGGAAGGAAGGAAGGAAGGATGGGAGGGAGGGATGGAGGAAGAAGGAAGGAAGGAAGGAAGGATGGGAGGGAGGGAGGGAGAGAGGAAGGAAGGAAGGAAGGAAGGAAGGAAGGAAGGAAGGCAGGAAGGAAGGAAGGAAGGAAGGGAGGGAGGAAGGAAGAAAACAGGGTTCAAAAAAGACTCACAGACTCACATAATCCCAAGGCCACCCAGCATGTCAGTGGCAGAGCTGAGACTGGATCCCAAGGCTCTGCCTCCCAAGCCTGCACTCCTTCTGCCACCTGTCACTCATCTAAAAGGCAGAAAGGGAAGCAGACCCTTTCCAGGTGGCCCCAGAGGGCAGAACAAGGACAGGGGTCACAGGTGGGAAGGAAACCTTTGTAATAACCAGAACTACCCGACAGTAAGTTGCTGGCCTCAGGAAGCGGCAAGCTCGTGCAAAAGCTGGCTGCTGGGGACCGTGAGAGGGATCCAGGAGGTTCCCATCACTCTCAGGGTCTGTGCCATGTGGAAGCAGCATGGGAGCCTGGCCTGCCTGGGTCTGACATTGCCCTTGACCTGTCCTTGGTGTGGGAAGGAGGGAACCTTGAGTCTGGGAAGAAGAGAACCATCTCTGGAAGCTGCCTGCTAATGGATCAATCATTCAAGCAGTTTGCAACCCTAATATCCAGCACCAAGCGGTCGGAACAAAGCCCGGCCCTCAGGCTGCTGAGTACCTTCTAGGGAAATAGGGCTCCCACACAAAGGGAAGCAAGCATGCCAGACCCAGGCAAGAGAGGGTGTTTGCTGCAGAAACAAGGGCTAATTTACGGGCCGCCTCCCAGGTTTATAAGGAGTCAAAAGACAGGACAGTGGGGCCTGGAGAACCCAGGGAAAGTGCCTTGTACTAATAATTATAGTGTTAATAGTGTTATTCACAGCTGTCTTTTTTTTTTTTTTTTGAGCATTTACTATGTGCCAGACACTGTGCTGAATGTTTTGGATGCATTGTAGGATTTAACCCTCAGAGCACCCCTGTGAGACAGGTGCTTTTATCGCCTTTTTACAGACAAGGAGACAGGCCCAGAGAAGGGATGTAACTCGCCCAAAATTGCACAGCGAACGTGGCAGAGCTGGGACTCAAGCCCGGATCTGTCAGACTCCAGGCTGGTGCTTCTGCCATCTCTGCCCTGACACAGAAATAGCTCCAAGATAGAATGTAATTGTTTCCTATTGCTGCTTAACAAATTAGCACAAACCTAAACACACGTTTATATAACATTTGTGTAGGTCAGAAGTGCGAGCTAAAATCAAGGTGCCAGCAGGACCGCCTTCCCTTCTGGAGGCTCCAGCGGAGAATTCATTTCTTTGCCTTTTCCAGCTTCAGGAGGCCATACTCAGCCCTCAGTATGTGGCCCCTTCCTTCGGCTTCAAAGCCGGCTTTGCCATGTCTCTCTGACCTTTACTCACACCTTCCCCTGACCACAGCCAGCGAAGACTCTGATTTTAAAGATCCCCATGACTAGACTGGGTCCACGTGGATAATTCAGGATCACCTCCCCATCTCAAAGTCCCTTTTACCATGTAAAGCAACACATTCACAGGCTCCAGGGATTAGGGTGTGGACATTTCAGGGGCCACTATTCTGCCTAGCACTTATAATAAAGTGGGGGAAAAGCAAATGCACCAGTAGCAAGGTACTTAAAAGGGGAGGGAGGGAGGAGTGAGTAAGTATATGTATTAGTATTTGCATAAAGGATACATAAAACCAGCATTGGTTATTGGAGGAGAACCAGGCTGATGGGGGACAAGGCTGGATGGTGATATTTTGTGTCATTACAGAAGTGTTCAAACACACACAAAACTAGAGAAAAAATAGTCTAGTGAATCCTTCTACCCGTGACCCAGCATCAACAGTTACCACCGTTTTGCCTTCTAGTTTCATTTATCTCCCCACCTTTTGGGAAAGGACTGAAAATGTACAGCAAATCCCACACATCGTATCACTCTAGCTTTAAAAACTTCAGTATGTAGCTTTAAGAGACAGGGGGTTTTCAGAAGTATACCACAACTCCATCATCACACCTAATAAACTTAAAAATAGTTTCTTACTATCATCTAATACTTAGTTTATATTTAAATTTCCCTAATTGCCTACAAACTTTTTTTTTTTTTTTAAATAATTGGTTCATTTGGATCAGGACCCAGACAAGGCCCTCATGCTGTACTGGGTTGAGGTGAGTCCTAAATTTCTCTCAACCTATAACAATTTCCAGGAGATACACTCTTCCCTCTCTACACTTTTATATCTTTATTTCTCAATCATGTAAATGAATGATCTACACAGAAGTTAAATACAGGAGACAATACAAATCTCATGCTGCGTGGAGAGTTAAAGGATGGGGGTGAAGAAGACCATCCCAAGCAGGGGACTCAGGAGCAGAGAGGAGGGGGTGGGGGAGGGGGCCCCCGCCGAAGCCCCCGGAGGTGGGTGGAGTCAGGGAGCCCAGGGGTCCAACATTCTGGGGGGTTTCCTGGTCTGCTTGGCAGAGGTAGGTGGAAGGGTTGCCGGGACACCAGCGACAGCCTAGGCTGCAGCATCCTGAGGAAAGTCCCCAAAGGGGGCTTTATAAATAAATCAATAAAAGGATGATGCAACCTTATCTAAATGTGCAGCCTGCCGAGAAACCACAGGAAACCCACTACCCACCAAACCGAGCCTAGTGTTACACCAAAGCGCCCCCAGACCGGACAGCGGAAGAACATAGAGGCGGATAATCACGAAGGACAGAGGAGCCGCTGAAACTCCCAGACGTGAGAGACCTGAGCTCTGTGCCAGCTCTGCCTTCAGCCGTCTGCAGGGTCCTGTGAAGGTCACCTGCAGACGCAGCACCTCGAGTAGCCATGGCTGGGGGAGCGGGGAGTGAGCAATAGCACGCACCAGCATGTGCTTGGATCTGCATAAAGAAGGTTACATAAAAACCAAATGAGAGCGGGACCTCCCTGGTGGCGCAGCGGTTAACAATCCGCCTGCCAAGGCAGGGGACACAGGTTCGAGCCCTGGTCCGGGAAGATCCCACATGCCGCAGAGCAACTAAGCCCGTGTGCCACAACTACTGAGCCTGTGCTCTAGAGCCCACGAGGCACAACTACTGAGCCCATGCGCCACAATTATGGAAGCCCGCGTGCCTAGAGCCTGCGCTCTGCAACAAGAGAAGCCACCGCAATGAGAAGCCCATGCACCGCAACGAAGAGTAGCCCCACGCGCGGCAACTAGAGAAAGCCTGTGCGCAGCAATGAAGGTCCAACACAGCCAAAAATAAATAAATAAATTTATCCAAAAAAAAACAAATGAGAGTCAAAGAGACCCTGAGTACGGAAGGAGCAGTGGAAATTCTCCCCACTTAATATTGCTAACAGCCAGATCCCAAAGCCCCACTCCTACCACCACTCCCCATATTATCCCTGACTGAAAGAGGGGTTGCTGCAGGATGAATAGGAGTTTGCTGGGAACAGGAAATTTACTGTAGACGAAGAGAATGACAGAGTCAAAGGAAGAGAGGCGGGAATGAGCCCAGGGCGTTCAGAGAATTAAAACGAATTCAAAGTGCTAAATCAATGTGGGATCTTGATTGGACTCTGGGACAGGAAGAGGACATTAGTGGAAAAACAGGTGAAATCTGAATAACATCTGCAGTTTAGTTAATAGTACTGTACTTAGTTTTGACAAATAAACCACGTTTTTTTTCAGATGTTGACATTGGGGGGGAAGCTGTACTATCTTTGCAACTTTTCTGTAAACCTAAAATTATTCCAAAATAAAAGAGTTAGTAGGAAAGAGAGAGAAGGAAAAAAGACAAAAAGAGCAGTACAAAATGGCTAAAGCATATAAGTTGCCAGAAGGGGGGAACGGGTGATGGGCATCAGCAGAGGCTGGCTTACCGGGGCCTCCTGTGCCCCACCACGGGGTCCAGACTCCATCTCTCTGCAGGCAGTACTCCACGGTGATGTCCCCTCTTTCTGAACCCTTCCCACAGGCCCCAGGGGGACACCAGCCACAGTTTCTTACCTTCATGTTCATCTTAACTATATTTCACCTGCGCATATGTGCCTGAACACACACACACAAAGATCCCAGGTCTGCTACACACACACACACACACACACACACACACACACACACACACACACACACACACGAGCTCATCTAGGAGGTGCCCTGTGTCCAGCCTCTAATCCCCCCACCCCCCGGGAATCTAGAACCATCACCCAGAACAGAGGTCAGCAGCCATCCCCATTCCCCGTGGTGGAGGAAAAGCAGTCACCCTCCCAGCTCCGCAGCTGTGAAAAGGGAGCCTCAGAAGGACAGTCTCCAGCAAAGGCAGGACCAAGACGCAAACACTCCACCTGTCTTCGGCCCCTAAGACTCAGATGCTCAGCTTGCTGGGGGCACCTTCAAGATGGCACAACCCCTCGGGTGTCACCTGCAGTCCCTTCACCCACCTCCACAACCAAAGGACAAGAAAGACAGAGAGAACACCCATGTTAACACAGCCATTTACGCCATGCAGAGGTAGTTCAGCACCCGGGTCCTGGAGCCAGATCATCTGGGCTCAAATCCCGGCTCCGCTGCTTCCCAGCAAGTGAATTCATGTGGCCTCCATTTCCCCATGTGTGAAATGGACATAGTAAGACTCTCAACCTCAGAGGGCCGTTTGAGGATTAAACGGGTTTACACATAGCAGTTGTGCCCA